GGAGTATGGAGTCAAATTAATGCCACATGTACTTGCAAAAGAATTTAAGTATTGCAAAAAAAAAAAAAAAGTTTTGCAAATGAAAATATAAGTATTGGGGGAAAAAAAAAAATATATATATATATGCTTTTGCAAGCAAAAATAAAGGATTGCAAAATATATATGAAACTGAGCAAAAGCAGTGATTTTGCAACCCATATTTTTCATGGCCATAGCTGCTAATTTATTTGCAAAACTGCTTTTATTTTGTGTTTGAGTCAAGTGTGAACTCGCAATAAACAATAGTTTTTTTTCTCAATACTTTAATTTTCGTTTGCAAAACTTAATTTTCTTTTGCAATGCTTCAATTCTTTTGCAAGTATATGTGGCGTTAATTTGACTCCATATCACTGTCAGCCTAATGCGTACGCTGCTTGCATATGGATGCATGTCATAAAATATTAATTTCATATTTATTTTCCTTTTTTTTTTTTTTTTGTACCTTGCATACCATTTAAATTGTATAATGCTTTTGCCATTTTTAAAGGCTATAGTGTATTTTATGAAAATATAAGTTGTATAAAATAAATGAAGAAAAAAAATTGCACCATAAGATGGGAGAGGAAAGGCTGTCTCTTTTGCAACGTCATAAAGCTGCCAGGTTGTTACAGTTTACAGGACTTTGTTACTGTATGTGTGCTTTGCATAAATCTGCCTCATTGTCCATTGCTGTACAGGAATATTCTAGCACCCTCAATAAACATGGGCAATATTGCATTTTTTATTTTTTTTTGGTCCGTGCAGTGCCAAAAAATGTGCATTTCTGACTGATTATACCAGTTGTTGTGCATACTAATTTACTACACTAGTGTTCAAAAGTTTTGGGCCAGTAAGAGTTTACAATGTTTTAAAAGAAGTCTTATGCTCATCAAGGCAATGCCATTTATTTGATCAAAGATACAGTAAAAGCAGTGAAATATTAAAATTCAGATCCTATAGAAAGCATTCCTATATGCTGATTTAATGCAAGAATTTCAAGAAACATTCCTTTATATTATCTTTGTGGAAAACATGATTCTTTTTTGGGGGGCTGTTGGCTGGTTTGTGCAGTACAAATATTTCTAAAAAGTCTTCATGCATATTGCATGAACTCTGACTTGTTTCTATATAAATTGTTTCTTATAACTTCCCAAGATGCCAGGCTGTGAGTGCATAAGTCAAGCAGGTCATTAGTTGCCTGCGGCGTTGCTATTCGCTTCCATTCTCTCTGCCCTGTGCAGCATTTCAGAAGAAAGTCTTTATCAATTGTGTATCAGTTTAGACAAGGTTAAGATATTTTTATACTGAATATTTCATACTGCATCAAAGTTTTACTCCAGACTTCAGCTGCTCGCATCAAACTCTTGCTTTCTCGTTATTTTACAGGCTCTAAATGATTCACTTAGTTTGTACTGAGAATCACTGACATAGTTGGACATTTATTTGATCTCACTAAACCTGTCCAAAACATGTTTAGGTCACGTTTTCCCTCAAAAATATTAATACAATTAAATATTAAGTAATTAAATTTTGCATGGAGAAAATTCTCTCATTTATTTATTTGGTATTGATGTAGCTTAGTATCTTAATGTTAATAATTTTATTAAGTGATGTTCTTATTTTATTCAAGTTTTAGGCATCACAGCAAAAAATTCTGTGACAACTCGACGTTCATCTTTTTATTCCGATTTTTTAAAGATGTGTCAATTTTAACATACATGCTTGTCATGTTTCCAGAAAGCTTAGTCACAGAGTTTATGTGATGACTGGCCTGAGAATCAGTGTTCTGTCTAATAATAACCTTCTGAGTTTATCAGGGCCCTTGACAGATGGCATGGGTGTCGTCCGGGGCCACAGGGCCCTTCTTAGTCCTGCACTGCCCATTGATGCTCTCTGAAGTCTATTGGATTTCTCAGCTGTCTTAGCAGCTGCTGCCTCTGTACTGGTTTTGGGAGGACTGCTGGGATGTCTGTAACAGTGGAAAAAGACAGACCCTCTGTGACAGTTTCCTGGAAACCTTGATAATAGCTTTAACTGGCAGCCTTTTAGGCATCACAGCAAAAAATTCTGTGACAACTCGACGTTCATCTTTTTATTCCGATTTTTTAAAGATGTGTCAATTTTAACATACATGCTTGTCATGTTTCCAGAAAGCTTAGTCACAGAGTTTATGTGATGACTGGCCTGAGAATCAGTGTTCTGTCTAATAATAACCTTCTGAGTTTATCAGGGCCCTTGACAGATGGCATGGGTGTCGTCCGGGGCCACAGGGCCCTTCTTACTTAGTCCTGCACTGCCCATTGATGCTCTCTGAAGTCTATTAGATTTCTCAGCTGTCTTAGCAGCTGCTGCCTCTGTACTGGTTTTGGGAGGACTGCTGGGATGTCTGTAACAGTGGAAAAAGACAGACCCTCTGTGACAGTTTCCTGGAAACCTTGATAATAGCTTTAACTGGCAGCCTTTTAAACAGTTCCCAGTCTGCACTGAAGTCTAAATTGGAATGATAAAAAAAAAAATCTTATACTGGAAATCACATGGTCATAGAAATTCACTCATGGATAACCTGTTTAAAAGATGATGGTAAAGTGTATTATAATACATATTTTTGTCTTGTACATATTTCTGTTTTACCAAAGAGCTCGCAATGTTCCTTGTAGATAAAATGGCCTCATTGTGTCTATAATCTTCCTCACCATGTTCACCGTGACGGGTGTCCTACATCGTAAAATCATCTGTGTAAAATGCTGATTAATTATTGAATGTAAAATGCACAGCTGAATTGCTCTTCTAATGCTGCCCTGTTGTTATAAACGTCCCCTCTTTATCTCAAAACATTTCCTCCATCAGGCTTTGATAGGAAGACCCCATAGGAGGACCTCAGGATGTTCTGCAGACACTATTGTCCTCAATGGAAAAGACGACATTACTGCAGCAGTAAGTATGTGGTGTGATGCTGAACTAAAGTTTCACAGTGATCATTCCAGAAAGTTTTTTATTTTGTATTCTAGGAATGCCAAGTATAAAATGTCCATATTACAATATGATGGACGTGACTGAAATATACTACTGTTCAAAAGTTTGGGGTTGGTAAAATTTTGTTAAATGTTTTTGAAAGAAATTTCTTATGCATCAAGACTGCAATTATTTGATCAAAAAATACAGTAACAACAGTAATATTATGAAATATTGCAATTTAAAACAATTTGCTGACAAAGCTGACGTTTCATCAACATTACTCCGGTCTTCAGTGTCACATGATCTTTCAGAAATCATTCTAATTTGATGATTTGGTGCTTAAGAAACGTTTCTCAATGTTGAAAACAGTTGGGCTGCTTAATGTTTTTGTGGACCCTGTCATACATTGCTTTTCTTTGGTGGATAGATCAGTTTAATAAAAATGTTATGACATTCTATGACATTTACTTTATAGTCATTCTAAACCTGTTTGACATTATCTGTGGCATCTTTTATGTTCTGCAGAAAAAAGAAATGGACACCGGTTTGGAATGACATGAGAGTAAATTTTCATTTTTTTGGTTGGACTATCCCTTTAAGAATTTGGGGACTGTTTCTCTTGGGACTGGTCATTATCAGAGAGTCTCTCTGGCCTTTTCCGTCTAT